ATGCGTCAGTGAAAAGGGGTAAAATTGCTGTTATTTCACTGAGTTCTTGCAAAAGCATATGATTTACTTATAAAAAAAAAGGGAAAATAGGGCACACTTATGGTTAGTCCTCTTTAACGATGTTTCCTAAACTTTGCATTAGTCAGCCACTGACTGAAGTGGATTCATCAGCACCCTTCTTCAAGGGACAGAAGCCCAACGTCCACTGCCTTGGGCCAAACCAGTGTAAGAATAACAATAAGGAATTTATGGGCTCACACAGATGAGAAGTGTCAGAGGCAAAATCCTGGCTCCGCTGGCATCCCGGCCTATTGATCTGACCCTGGAGCCAGGCGTCCTAAGTTCAAAGCCCGGCTCGGTCACCTTACAGCCACAGGCTCTTGGGTGAGCCACTCACCAGTCTGGAGCCTGGTGAGTTTCCTCCTCTCCTCAAAGGGGGTGGTGATGATAGAGCCGACCTTGCAGAACCCTTGTGAGGATCAGGTGATGTGATATATAAGCGTTATCATAGCACCCGGCACATAGTAAGCTTCTAGAACTATGATTTCTTAGCGGCTATTTTTGAATACTTATTCTTTCGATCAGCCAACTCATTAACCTCCATTCACCACTTTCTGAGTCCTGGAAGGAGCAGAGCCCACCTCTCTCAGGCAAAGGATTTAAAAAATGACAGATACCCACCCTCCTGAGATCCCTTGCAGCCAAAAAGGAGGCGTGTGACCTGTGCTCCACCAATCAGAAATGTCTGCCGAGGTTATTCCCTGGGAAAAAGTTGGGCCTGGGAAGCATGCTTGGGGCAGTGGTGGCCCTCACAGCAAGGTGGGGTCTCTGGGGGACAGCTGTGGTAGGGCCACCCCACAGGGTCGGCAGTGCCTCTCTATGAGTGGAGCGGTGGCATTCGCGCCCTCGCTGGACCTTTCCATTAGATGATAAGGGTGCCTGCCTGCTGTCTGTCCTCTGAGCCTGTGTCTCCAGGTCTCCCTGAGCCAGTGGTGAGCCTCTCATACGCCTGCATTAATTCCTTTCCTTCCTAAGTCAGGCTGAGTCGGCTTCTTTTACTACATACCCTTCCTGATTCAATAATGCAGGGCAGAGGCTGTTCTCAAAGCTCTGGAAAGACTTCAGCTTGGATTCTTTGAAATGATTCACCTCCTCAAGATGCCTCTTACCATGACCAAGCCAAAGTAGCATACCTAGGTGCTAGGACGCTGCAGCTGGCATTGACTCACACCCCCCCACCCCCCTCGAGAGGCCAAGAGCTTGTACGCAGCCTACACGGTCACCAAGAGCCCTGGAGGCTGTGCTCTGCCCACTACTCACCCCACCAGGGTGCTGCCTGCACTCTCCAGGGAAGAGGGGGTCGAGAGGAAGTCATGAAGGAGGTGGGGGGGACAGCGGAGAAGCTCATGGCAGCTCTGCACTTATGGTACTAGAATCAAAGACTAAGATGGCTCGGGCACAGAAAAACGTGGCCAGTACAGCCTGGTGCCCACCCAGAGACAGCTCACTGGAGAGGAAACCAACTGCAGTTTCAGGAGGCTTTGAAGGTCCTGGCAGATTGAAATCAAGCAGCCGGATATCTTCCCACAGTGGTTATATATGCATAGCTTCTGAGCCACAACCTGCCATGGCCACCAGCGACCATCCTTCCCTTTGAGATGGCCAGACCGCTGTGGGGAGCTAGTCCTGGTGAGGGGTGGGGGGAATTGGGTTTATTCATTGGCCTCAGGGCCAACAGCAGCCATTGGAATTACCTGGAGGACCTGTTAAAATGTGGATGGGGGGAGGGGGCACTGGTGTGGCTCAGTCCGTTGAGATCCAACTCTTGATTTCAGCTCAGGTCATGGTCCCAGGTCATGGGATCGAGCCCAGTGCTGGGCGCCATGTTAAGCATGGAGCCTGCTTAAGATTCTCTCTCTCTCTCTCTCTCTCTCTCTCTCACTCTCTCCCTCTCCCTCTCTCCTTCTGTCACTCTCCCCTGCTCACTCTCTTTAAAATAAAATTTTAAAAAAAGCAATTGCAAGGCCCCATTTCAGAGTTGCTGATTTGGAAGGTCTTGGGGGAGGCCTGGAGAATTTGCATTCTAGCAAATTCCCAGGTGATGCTCATACTTTGAGAACTATTGATTTAGGTTGAGTGACTTAGAGATTTTTCATCTATATAATGGGCAAAGTGACCCCCCTCACCAGATGGTCCTCAGTGGCGATTACGTTCATGGGTGTGAATGGAACGGTCTACATCTGAGTTGTTCATGATAACGCTAACAGATGTTTGCAGAATCAAGCTGGCGTGCAGCTATGCAGTCATTAAGGAACATGAACCCCCATAATGTGCTTGCACTGCTCAGACCATGGAAGTGTGAAAGGGATCCCCACCACCCCAGCAGCAGCCTGTCCATGAGACTTCTCATTTTACCCTCAAAACCTTTTGGTTTAGTACCTTTATTTCACACAAGAACAAGTTAGTTCCAAGATGTGAAGAGATGTCCCAGAGGCCACCGGTAATGGACACTTCCCTGGGTGCCTGGGCCTCTCCCAGTTGGCCCTGGCTCTTCTTCTTGGAATTGACTTCCTACCCTCAGGGGCTGACTGGATGTCATCTTCATGCTTCGTGACCCTGACATTCTGGCCAGAGTTGTTGGATCAAAGGTTGACCTTTGACCTAGGCCAGTCCAATTAGTACCTCCCTCCTGGGAATGTAGACCTGCTCCTAAGAGACAGTGACTGGGTGGGTTAACCAGAGAAGGGAGAGGAATAAAGGGAATAAAGCGCTCTCTCTCTCTCTCTCTCTCTCTCACGCACACACACACACACACACACACACACACACACACACACAGAAAGCATCAGAGACAAGATCCAGAGTGTGCTGGAGCTTCTGAGTTCCTGTTTCCAGTAACTTCTTGGGACCCCACTACCTTCCTAACTCCGGATTCCATATTATAGCATAGTAGAGAGTAAAGGTTTTTTTTTATTTTCATTGTAAGTGAAAGAAAACATATCAAATAACCTTATATAACAAAGATATTACTGAATGTTGTTCATGTAACTAAAAAGCCCAGAGGTGGCTCTGGCTTTAGATGGGGGTGGTTTGGTAACTAATATTATATGAGCAAAGATTCAGTTTCTCTCTGTCTCTCTCTTCTGCCTTTTGTGATGAGGAATTATTCTCAGGAACCATACGGTCCTTTGCAGCTCTAGGTTTTTCTTTGGTGGTAACAAAATGGCTGCAGTAGTTCCAGCCCTCACACCATAACCTAAACTATTTAAAGGAAGAGGGAATCTCTTCCAGTCGGCTGTGTACAAATCCTCGGATTCACTGTCATTGCCAAAACAGGGGCCACGTGCCCATCTCAGAACTAGTTGAACGGGGAGATAAGACATGATGGTTAGATTGAATCAGGCAGGATTCTCCCTTGGAGCCAGGGCTAGGGTCTTATCTTCCCACACTACATGAATGAAGATGAAAGTAAGGGTTCCCCAAAAGACAAGCAAGCATTTTTGGTGGAGACAGGAGGCAAGGGAGAGATGTTACAAAGACGACCAACACATTCCCACTATATCCTATAGCCTTAATAAATGTTTCTTTGTAAAAACAAATATTTCTTGAGTCAATTTCTAACTTTTAACCAAGGAGTCCTAGCTAGCAAGGTATATATGATCTTCCCCCCTTTATTTCAACTAATTTACTCTAAATCATTCCTGGGAGCTCCCAGGTTACTCTGCCCAGTTTATGCAAGAAGAGAAAGAAGTCAGATCACTCATCAGGGGAACAAAGTCAGATTTAAAATAATTTAATGTGTATTTAAAATTTTTTTTAATTATTTATTTATTTTGAGAAGACAGAGTGTGAGTGGGGGAGGGACACAGAGAGAGACACACGGAATCCAAAGCAGGCTCCAGGCTCTGCACTGTCAGCACAGAGCCCGACCCAGGAATGGAACTCACGAACTGTGAGATCATGACCTGAGCTAGAGTCAGACGCTTAACCGACCGAGCCACCCAGGCACCCTGAGAAAGTCAGATTTGATCAAGCTCCCTGTCTCTATGAAAATATAACAGAAATGTAGTTATTGTGACCAATAATAAGATATAAACAAGATCTAAAAGAATGAGTCTCTGTAAAATTATTAGGATCAATTGAAAATATTTTAAATGCAAATCCTACATATTTCATAATGGTTCATTAACTTATAATAATCCATTTCAATCAAGATTTTGTTGCTTGACTGCTACTGAACACATCTTAGTTTGAGTCATTGTGATTTTTTTTAAAGACTTGTTTTACTAGATGTCTTATATTCCTATATTATTCCTATAAATATTTGCAGAGAGGAAAACTTGCAAAATCTTACTCCATGAGACTAGCACATAACGTTTCAGAACCATCACAAACGCTGAAGCCATAAATAATGCTGTATAATTTGCAGGATGGGTGTAATTGCCCAGGGAGAAAATGCCAGAAACAATAGCCATGCGCCCTTTTAGGAAATGCTGACTCACCAATGTGCACGGTGGCAGAGGGCAACGTTGTGTGGATAACACACTGAAATCTCAGAGTCAAGGAGAAAATTGAAAGCGTTGGGCTTTTTGCACGAAGACGTCTTAACAGTGCATCTGTGTTTGCTCAAGAGGAATATGGGACTAAAATTGTGTTGAAACGTGTACAGAAGCCCTTTCAATTCACTTAATTTCAAAATTCCAGCTCTAAGAAAGCACTGCAGGATACCTGCTTGGTGGCATTTTTCTCCTTGGTGGTATGTGAACTGGCCAGTTAATAGCATCTTGGATTTGACCATCTCATAACCTAAAAGCTCACGCAATGTGCTTCCACGTTACTGTTATTCTCGTTCCACTTACTTTTGCCACTAAGGTCCATTTTCCAATACCTCATACACTACTTTCTTTCTCCCCCCTCCCCCCACATATACACATCACAGCCTGAGGAGAGTGAACCTTTCATGTTCAGCACATTCGCTGGTACGGGCGTTATTTGTGGTTCTATGCGAAAGGGTACGTACATTTTACAGACAATTTTACAGTAGTACAAATGCAATTATATTGAAACGTTTCCTGTGGTTGCACCCCATTTCCTCCGTGAATCTCAGGTCTGTAAAACAAAACATAGGAACCATGTTCAAACACACTACCGTTTACGGACAGGCACTGATAGCTCGCATGCAAACGGAGAACAGATCAAATAAACAAATGCTTAGTGGCGCCCAAAGAACTGTAAACAAGATGCGAACAAACAGTGGGCACATTTACTTCCTGCTCAGGCATCAGTTCCATGTTGGTTGATCTTCTGCTGTGTCTTCAAATGCCTCCACCTGGATGGGATTCATCAGCCAAGTCGCCTTCCATCTCTGTTTCTAGAAAATCAAGGCTGGCATTAATGCTAGAACCATGTGAAAGCCTGATCATGCCTCTTGGCAAATCTTTCTTCTCGTTCATGGCTGATCATTCCATTACGTCATAATTATCATACAGCTATAGCGTAAATACATAGTTATTTCCATCTCTCCATCCAGATGGTCGGTTACACGATAATTACAGTATGTTTGTACTTACTGGGTTTAATTACCAGATAATCAGGAAGAACATGCAAATTGCTAGGTTGTTGTTACACAGTACATTGAACCAAGTAAAACCTGTGTATTGCATAAAAGTAAACAAGCTCGTACATGGGATTGTGCACTGTAACCTGTGACGGCAAGAAGGCCGGAGGTTTGTTATGGGGCCATTGTGCAGGTTAGCATTACACTTGCTGAGCTTGGATTAATGTCCAGATTATAATGAAATGTAATAGGAGACACTCACGCTGCCACACCCGCCACGGGAACAATGGGGGACTGGCCACAGGAGTGGCCGAATAAGGCGCCAGTTCTTGGCTCTGGAGTCCTACTCCGTTCCAACCAAGTGCATTCCAGAGTCACGTGTGCACATCTATTCCCAGCCCAACCGTGTACCTGCCCTGGTTGGCAGAGAGAGACTGCAAACCACCTACCAAAGAAACCCTCCCAGGAATAAAATGTCACTCTGGGTAGAAGCCACCTTAGGGTTCCCTGGTGTGTCCATTCTGCCACAAGTACCATTGCTAAGAGTCACCCCAGGCTCCAAGGGGAGCTGCCTGGGTCAGTGTCTTCTGATTCCCATGATCAGATCACTGTCTCATGTCCTGTGATTGGGTCACTGGCACAGTTTGCTACCTTCCCCTTTTGACTTCCACTTGAAATTCCATGTTGGTCTAAAGAAGCCAACTTCATCTCCTGCTCTCAGGAGCGAAACCTATGACCTTGGCAATCATCACCTGCCCTCTCCCTGCCTCCAGCGATTGGTTTAGAGTTGAACATAAGCGTCAAGCCACTGAATCCACTCGTGGAATAGAACATTTTCTGATTCCAGGAACGAGACATTTTCTCTTCCCTCCTGTGTACGACCAAATCTGAAACCTCAGAAGCCACAGCAACGCATCGTGCAATTGTAACGGAGAAAGTGGGTCTTAATATCGTTGAGCCACAGGTTCAAGCTCTACCTAAAACCTAATCTATATTTTCCAATTACATGAGTGAATAAACTCTCTTTGTTGTCTGTGCCACCAAAATCTGGGTTTTTGTTATTTACAATGAGAAGTGTAATAACTTATAAAGTTGCCTGGCATGCCACAGAAAATCTCATAAATATTTTCTTCTGTCTCACTGCCCAGACATGAGCAGCCTTCATGTTCTGCTCTATCATTTTTTTCTCCAGTTTAATGAGATAAAATTGATGCATAACATTTAGTTTGTGGTGGGCATGATAATTTGATATATGCACATATTGCAAAATGATGACATGGTTGCAAATATTTTTTTCTTGGGATGAGAATTTTTAACATCTACAGTTTTAGCAACTTTATTTATTATTATTTATGATTAATTATAATCACCATACTGTACATAATATCCCCAGAACTTATGTATCGTAAAACTGGAAGTTTCTACATTTGACCACTTTCACCTCCCCGCCCCCCACCTCTTGCAGCCGCCCATCTGTTCTCTGAATCTATGAGTTCAGGTTTTTGAAGTCATCACACATAAGCAAGATAATATATTATTTGTCTTTCTCTCTCTTATTTCACTAAGCCCTGAAGGTTCACCTGTGTTGTCGCAAGTGGCAAGATTTCCTTCTTTTTATGGTTGAATAATATCCCATTATGCATATATACCGTATTTTCTTTTCCCATTCATCTGTCGATAGACACTTACATTGTTTCCATAACTTGGCTCTTGTAAATAATGATGCAGTGAACATGAGGGTGCAAATACTTATATACTTTTTGAGATAGTGATGTCATTTCCTTTTGAAGTCAGGGCGCCTGGGGGGCTCAGTCAGTTAAGCGTCCGACTTCAGCTCAGGTCATGATCTCACAGCTTGTGGGTTCGAGCCCCACACTGGGCTCTGTGCTAACAGCTAGCTCAGAGCCTGGAGCCTGTTTCAGATTCTGTATCTCCCTCTCTCTCTCTGACACCCCCCCCCCACCTCCGCTCATGCTGTTTCTTTCTCTCAGAAATAAATAAAACATTAAAAAATTTTTTTTAAAAATGAAATATACCCAGAAGTGGAACGGCTGGATCATAGGGTAGTTCTATTTTTAGTTTTTTCGGAACCTACATACTGTTTGGATAGTTGCTGCACCAGTTTTACTCCCAACCATAGTGCACAGGGTTCTCTTTTCTTTACATTCTCCCCAACACTTGTTATCTTTTGTCTTGTCTTTTTGATGACAGCCATTGTAACAGGTGTGAGGTCATATCTCAGCTGGGTTTTGATTGGCCTTTCCCCGATGAGGAGTGACGTTGAGCACACTTTCCTATACCTGTTGGCTATCCGTGTGTCTTTGGAAAAATGTCTATTCAGTTCCTCTGTGCATTTTTAAATCCGATTGTTTATTTTTTATTGTTGAGTGGTATGAGTTCTTTACATATTTTGGACTTTAACCCCATATCAGATATAAGATTTGCAAATATTTTCTTCCATTCCGAAGGTTGTCTGACACATCGTTTCTCAAGCTCACGAACTGATTGCTTTTCCTGCGGACTTGAGATGGCATTCCAGCCGACCTATGGGAAAGGCAGCTCCATCCCTGGGAAAAGAGAAAGCTTTCTTCATCCATGGGTGGGGGCTGGGAGAGGCACACGCGTCCAGGTTTTGCTCTGTTTCCCGTAGAGAAGTCTGGGTAGAAGGACCTACAGGCAAATCGGGTGGAATATTACGTGTGGCGACTCAGAGTTACAGGCCATGATGGACAGGAGCCAGAGACACTGCCAGCAAGCCCACAGAGACCACTGACTTACAGGACTAGAGAGGAAAGGAAAGTGGGGAGGGGCCTTGGGATAGATACGTGGGGTGGCCCCACACTTATGGGTGAACGGCATACACTGGATCATTCCTGAACAAGGGGCTTTTATCTCCCTCTGAGTCATGACTTGAAGCAGCCATATCAGGCTGGACATTGACTTATCCCCACTCATTACCTGTCAAGGTATAGAGAGACAGAACTATCCCAGACGTTGAGTCAAAGATACATACACCCCATGTGGCCCTTGCGCTAATCCGTCTAGCCTCCTCCAAGTGAGGCAAACGAGTAAACAAGCAGTTGCCACACAACATGGCAGTCGCCAGTCTAGAAGAGAGATGAGATGTAGTGCGCAGATGCAAGGAGACAAACCAGCCAAATTCAGGTTCAGGGACAACTTTCTGCAGGAAATGACATTTGCACGAATACCAGAGGGATGAGCGGGAGGGGAAGTGCTCCAAGCAGAGGTGAGAGCATTTGGCAGAGAGGAAGAGACAGACTTCTGGGAACAGGAGGGGCCCATGGAGCAGAAGGGCAGTAGGAGGGGTGTGATGGGAAGCACAGCCCCCTAGGCAGGGAGTTCACGGTGTTTCTCAAGGGCAGTCCCTAATAGGAGGAATGACATGATCAGATCTGCCTTTCAGTGGGCCCTGGCCCACATTTTGTCTTGAATGTATCTCTAAGCTACTTTTCCAAGGTCTTCTTTGGGGCCGTAAAGGGTAAGGGGACAGCACCAAGAAAGCTCGAAACATAAGTTCCTTATAAAATCCACGTGCGGCAGAAATGAAGCCCCACCCGTGGGTTTCAGATGCACGTGCACTTCAGCCACAGCCCCCTTTGCACAGCTGTGTGATGCTCAACGTGCCGTTGGAACACTTTCGATAAATCTTTTAAACTCTGCTTTTCCTTGAAGTAGGAAGCCTTGTCATCAGAGTGTGATTAGCTTGCAAAGCAGCATTTTCCAGACTCTGTTCATGAGGCTTGATGGAGCCCCCAGCCCTGCCACATACCCTGCTTTATCCTGGCCAGGAGGTCTGTGGACCATGAGGCTATATCGGTAGCCTCTTCCTTCCTCTTCCGACACTAAAGCATGAGAGGGACATTAACCCAGGATGCTGTCAGAATAGGAAAGGGCACCTGGGTGGCTCAGTTGGTTGAGCATCTGACTTGGGCTCAGGTCATGATCACATTGTTCCTGAGTCTGAGCCCCGCATGGGGCTCTGTGATGATAGTTGGAGCCTGGTTGGGATTCTCTGTCTCTCTCTCCCCAACCTCTCTCAAATAAATAAAAAGCATTAAGAATAAAAGACTGTACCTTGAGTGTGGTGGCTGGGGTCTTCTGGCCCAAGACAGATGACAAAGAAGGGCAGGAAGTAGATTTTCATTTCCATGAGTTGGCCTCTGTGACATTTCTATTTTTTAAATATGACTAGACATCGTTATCAGAGGTGGAGGAGGAGATTATTAGCAAGAATAATGATCTATAACAGCACTGGACAATAATGGCTATCAGTCAACCAGTTTTTAGAAGGTGCCAGGTCCAGAGCTAAGCATCTTCCATGAATTATCTTACTTTATCCTCACGATAACCTTGTGAGCTGGCCAATATCATTGTTCCTATTTTATGGATGTGAAAAACTGAGGCCCAGAGAGGTGAACAGCAGCAGATGCTGTTGGGAGGATTTGAACTCAGGCCATCTCACTGGAAGGTTCGCAATATGCTTGCCCCATGGAAAATCTATTCCTTATGAACTCGTGGAAAGTCGGTCCCAAGGCCCCCTGGGCCGTAGCTTCTGTGCTGCCCAGTCTAGGACAGAAATCCGCCTGCTTCCCGAAGCATTTCTCCCTGGTGAACTCCCCTGTTAGAACCACAGGGCTGAGCCAAGAGAGGTCCAATCACCTGGGCCAAGTTTTCATTAAAATGTGTGCGCGTTTGGGGGCTTAATGATTATTTTCAGTCCCGGTTCCTGCTTATTTGGTTTGGGTTTTGCACGATTAATTAGGAGCCTAAATTAATGAGAAGGGAAACACGTGTCCAGCTGGTCCTCCCAGATGTTCCTGGAAACAAACTCTCCAATTTGCACAGCATGACAGTGTAAACATGACTTGGGGAACTCGCTCCGCGCTGGTTCAGTACCCAGCACTCCTGGCTGTGAGGAACAGGTCTTGTCTGGAGGGTACGCTTTCCCAGGTCTGAAATAATGTCTTCCCCTGTGCTGGCTGATGTCGTTCTCTGTTACACTGCTCGCCTGAGTCCCGGGAAGAAGGAAGTCTCGACTCAGAGCAAGAGATGGAAACGAAGGAAATGACGAATGAGAAAAGCCACTCCTCATAAAGATGGAGGACAGAAAGTTCTCCAGATTTCACTGGTGATGTCACTCTCACCGGTGTCCTGGGGTACAGAAGTCCAGCTTTCCTTTCCATCCTATCCCTGTCTCCCTTTTATCTTTAGGATGAGAACAGACCAATCTCCCGATTCCAGTTACATCCGGTTTGGGGTGGTGACTGGATGACACTCAATCAGAATCCGTTAGAATCATCTGGTCTATGGCATGAAATGCCATCGGGGGACCCTCCCCATCTGTGGCCCACACTTACAGGAAAAGTATCACCAATATTGAAGTGGACAATACTAGGAAGTCCACAGAAGATCAGGGGGTTTGACACTGTCTCTCTTTCAATGTATTGGGCACCTATTTTGTGCAGGTGTGAGGCCCTGGGGCTGTGAAATGAACAAGGTAGGCATGATGGCCATCCTCAAAGAGCTTATGGTCTGGCTGTAACTCCTCAATCAGTCACAACCCTGACCAAAGAAAGACACTGACACGGTCCAGAAGGTCCCTTGGGGAGATACGTAACCTGAATATTATTCAGTCTTACAAATTCTTTTGGGAAAGTCAAATTGCAATCACAATGAGATGGCCTATGTTCCTGTAAGCATGACATGCCTAAAAAGTAAGGCTTTACCTAAAACGTAAATGCCCTTTACTTAAATAAGGAATGAAATTCTGACGCATCCTACAGCATAAAGGAACCTTGAAGACATCGTGCTAAATGAAAGGAGCCAGACACAAAAGGGCAAATATTGTAAGGAGGGACCCGACAGTTGTCAAATTCATATTGACAGAAAAGAGTCATTGCCAGGCCCTGGAGGGAGACAGGCCTGGGGAGTCAATGTTTATTGGGTAGAGCTTCAATTTGTGAAGATAAAAAAGTTCTAGAGATGGATAGTGGTGATGGCGGCACAACATGGCGGGTGTACTCGATGTCACGGAACTCTGTACTTACAAATGGCGAAAATGGTAAATTCTCTTTGCGCTTTACCACAATAAGAAAAGAAGGAAGAAGATCTGTTAGGTCTCACTGGACACAGTTTCTGGAGCGATGGGCAGGTTGGGAGGAGCCTCTGTAAACAATCTCCCACTCTACCTCCCTGCTGCACGCCCTTTATTCAAGTCAGACCATCACTGATACACAGAGCATTCCTTCAACAACACGTTCCCGGATACTGCTGTAGGCACGGGGAACACAGAAGTCATCAGACAGAGAAGGTCCGGCCCTGAGGGGCTTACATTCTAGTGTAAGTCACCCAATGAGCAAGTAAATTGCAAACCCCGCCCCCAACATGCTTCGCCCCGGCACTATTTACACTTACATTTTTAAGTATATATCACTTTTTTGTGCTGTTTAAACTTAACTTTTATCACATCTAACATAATACCTGTGTTACTCATTTATCCAGTGTGCCTGTGCCTGTCCACTAGAATATAAGCCCTATTAGAATGATTTTGTTGGGGTAACCCTGAGCCTGGCTAGAATAGTACCCATCACATAGTAATCGTCCATATATGTGTAAAATAAATGAAAGTAAACAAAGATATTACCAGCATAATTTGTGATTATCAGAAATATTTTACTTTTTATTTTTTCAGTAGTTTTTTTTTTAAGATTTCATTTTTAAGCAATCTCTACACCCAACGTGGGGCTCAAACCCACAACCCCAAGGTCTAGAGTTGTAAGCTCCACCCGCCAAGCCAGCCCCAGGCATCCCTGTCAAAAATAATTTAAAGATAGTTATTGGGGCACCTGAGTAGCTCAGTTGGTTAAGCTTCTGACTTCAACTCAGATCATGATCTCCCGGTTCACGGGTTCCAGCCCTGCGTTGGCCTCTGTGCTGACAGCTCAGAGCCTGGAGCCTGCTTTGGATTCTGTGTCTCCCTCTCTCTCTGTCCCTCCCCTGCTTGCACTCTGTCTCTTTCTCTCTCAAAAACAAATAAACATTAAAAAAAAGATAGTTATTTTTTAGTTATGTTAAAACATACATAAACCTTAGCATTTTAGCCATTTTTAAGTGTACATTTCAGTGGCATGAAATACATTCACCTTTTAGTACCACCATCACCACCATCCATCTCCAGAACTTTCCAACTGTCCCAAACTGGAGCTCAGAACACAGCAGATTATAACTGCCCATTACCTCTCTTCCCTCAGCCCCTAGTAACTGCTGTTCTAGGTTCTGTCTCCATGAATTTGACTACTCGGGTAAATGGCATCATACAATACTTGTCTTTTTGTGACTGGCTTTTTTCGTCTCGCATAATGTTTTCCAGGTTCCATCCATACCATAGCGTGTATCAGAATTTCATTCCCTTTTAAGGCTAAATAATATTCTATGGTATGTATATACCATATTTTATGTATCCCTTTCTCTGTTGATGAATCTTTGGGTTGTTTCCGCCTTTGGGCTGTTGTGAGTAATGCCGCTATGAACGTAAGTGTACAAATATCTCTTTAAGGCTCTGCTTTCAATTCTTTTGGGCGAATGCCCAGAAGTGGAATTGCTGGATTATATGGCAATTCTGTTTAATTTGGGGGAACAGTACTAATGCTTTCCACAGCGGCTACACCATTTTACATCCCCACTAGTAATGCACTAGGATTCCAACTCCTCTATATCCTCACTAACACATGTTACTTTCTGCTTTTTCAAAAATAGCCATCCTAATGGGTGTGGGGTGAGACCTCACTGTGGTTTTGATTTGCATATCTCATAATAATTAATGATGTTGAGCACCTTTCCATGAGCTTCTCAGCCATTTGTATATGTTCTTTGGAGAAACTTCTATCCGAGTCCTTTGCCTATTTTCAAACTTGGCTTTATGGTTTTGTTGTTGAATTGTAGGAATTCTTTACATATTCTGGATATGACTCCCTTCACAAATATTGTCTTGAAAATTTTTTTCTCTGATTTTGTTCATTGTCTTTTCACTCTGTTGATAGTATTGTCAGATGCACAAAAACTTTTAATTTTGATGAAGCCCAGTTTATCTATCTTTTCTTTTGCTGCCTGTGCTTTTGATATCATATTGAAGAAATCACTGCCAAAGCCAATGTGTCCTTATACTTTTCCTCTATGCTATCTTCTAGGAGTTTTATACTTTTGGCTCTTCCATTGAGATCTTTGATCAATTTTGGACTAATTTTTGTGCAAGGTCTAAAGGTAGAGTCCAACTGCGTTCTTTTGCCGGTGGATACCCAGTTTCTCAGCACTGTTTATTGAAACAGTTGTCTCATTCCCATTGAATGGTTTTGTCACCCTTCCAGAAAATCCTTTGATCATACATTTGAGGGGTTTTCTGGACTGTCTATTCTTTTTCATTGGTCTCTATGTCTGTCTTTATGCCTGTGCCACACTGTTTTGTTTACTGTAGCTTTGTAGGAAGATCTGAAATGAGAATGTTAATACCTCCAACTTTGTTCTTTTTCAAGATATGTTGGCTCTTCAGAGTCCCTTGATATTCTATATGAATTTTAGGATGGAGTTTTCTGTTTCTGCAAGAGCATAGTTGGGATTTTGAGACCAGTTTAATCAAATATGTGGATTGCTTTGGGAAGTGTTAATATCTTAACCATATTGAGTTTTTTTTGTCCACAAACACTGGATGCCTTCTTTTGATTGATTGACTGATTTTTTATTAATTTTGTGGGGAGCCGAGAGAGAGAGAGGCAGAAAAAGAGAGAGAGGGAGGAAGAGAGAGAGAAGGCGAGAGAAAGAGAGAGAGAGAGAGAGAGAGAGAGAGAGAGAGAGAGAACGAGCAGCAGAGCAGCAGAGAGAAAGGAGGACAGAGGACCTGAAATGGGCTCAGACACTTAACTGAGTGAGCCACCCATGTGCTCCTCTTCTCTTGATTTTAGTCATTAATTTTTTCAACAGTGTTTTGTAGTGTTCAGTGTACACATCTTTGACCTCCTTGGTCAAATTTATTTAAGTATTTTCTTATGTTTGATGATATTATAAATGGAATTGTTTTCATGATTTCCAGATTTTTCATTGTTAGCATATAGAAAAGAAACAATTTTGTGGGTTGGTCTTATATCCTACAACTTTGCTGAATTCATTCATTAATTATAACAAGTTATTCATGGGGTCTTTTTGGTGTTCTATATATAAGATCAGGGTATCTGTAACCTGAGATTATTGTTTTTTCTTTTCACTGTGGGTATCTTTTATTTCTTTTTCTTGCCTAATTGCTTTGGCTAGAACTTTCAGTACTACTTCGAAAAGAGTGGCAAAAGAGGGCATCCCTCTTTTGTTCCTGATTACAAGGAAAGGCTTTAAGTCTCTCACCATTTAGTATGATGTTTGTTGTGGGCTTTTCATATATGACCTTTATTGTATTGAGGTATTTTCCTATTGTTCCTAATTTGTTGAGTGTTTTTTGCCATGAATGAGTGCTGAGTGTGTCAAATGCTTTTTCGGCATTGGTTGAAATGATCATGTGCTTTTTTTTCTGTATTCTGTTAATGTGGTGTATTACATTGATTGATATATCAACGATAATCATCTGTTGAACCATACTTGCATTCCAGGAATAAATCCCACTTGGTCATGGTGTATAATCCTTTTGATACACTGCTGAGTTCCATTTGTTAGTATTTCTTGAAAACTTCTGCATTAATATTCATAAGGAATATGAATCTCAAGTTTTCTTTTCTTGTACTGTCATTGTCTTTGATATAAGGTTAACGCTGGCCTCATTGAATGAATTAGAAAGTGTTCTCTCCTCTTTGTATTTTTGCAAGAGTTTAAGAAGCATTGGTGTTAATTCATTTCTTAGTGTTGCATAGAAAAAAACCACTGAGTTATTTGTTATTTGGTCCAAGGATGTCCTTTATTGGGATGTTTTTGATTGCTGATCAATCTCCTCATTAGTTATAGATCTACCCATGCTTTGTCTTTCTTCACAATTCCGGCTTGCAGGATTGCATGTTTTCAGGAATTTGTGCATTTCATGTATGTTATCTAATTTGTTGGCTTACAATTCATCATCCTTCTTACAGTCTTTTTCCCCCATAAAATCAGTAGTAATATTCCCACTTTCATTTCTTACTTTAGTAAATTGAGTCTTTCCCCTTTTTACATAGTCAACCTGGTAAAAATTTTCTCAATTTTGTTTTCAGAAACAAACTTTTGGTTTAATTTATATTCTCTATTTTCTGATGTTTGTATAACCATCTAGTCTACTTTGGGTTACTGTTTGCATGGAATATTTTTTCCATCATTTCACTGTATCCTAGTTACGTCTTTAGATCTAAAATGAGTCTCTTGGTGGTAGCTTCTAGTTGTATCATGTTTTTGCATCCATTCTGCCCACCTATGCCTTTTGATTAGGAAGACCAATCCCTTTACCCTTAAAATAATTACTGGGGCTCCTGGGTGGCTCAGTTGGTTGGGCGTCTGACTCTTGATTTCGGCTCAGGTCATGACCCCAGGGTCATGGGATCAAGCCCCACATCAGGCTCTGCACTGAGTGTGGGGTCTGCTTGAGATTATCCCTCCCTCTTTCTCTTTCTCTTACCCTCTGCCCCACTCCCTCACTTGTGCACTCTCTCTCTCTCAAAATAAAAATAATTACTGATAAAAGAAAAGACTTACTTTTATCATTTTGTTATTTGCTTTCTGTGTCTTATTAGCCTTTTTGTTCATTTCCTTTGTTACTGTCTTCGTTGTATTGAGTTGATTTTTTGTAGTGACACATTTTGATTCTTTTTTAATTTTCTTTTATGTATATTTTATAGATTTTTCTTTGTGGTTATCATGGAGATTACATATCACATCCTAAAGTTATAACAATCTATTTTGTGTTAATATCAACTTAATTTCAATGGCATACAAAACTCTACTCCTTTACAGCTCCCTCCCTGCTTCATTTTATATTACTGATGTCACACACAAATTACATCTTTATGTATTGTGTATCCATTAACATAGGTTTTTTTATGCCTTTGTCTTTTAAATCCTATAAAAAATAAAAAGAACTCCAAACCATAATTACAATAATACTGGTTTTATATTCACCCGTGCATTTACTTTTCCCAGGGATCTTTATATTGTCGTATGGTATGGCTTTGAGGCTAGCATCCTTTCATTTCAACCTGAAGGACTTCCATTAGAATATCTTTTAGTGTGAGTCTATTGGCAATGACCTCGTTGGCTTTTGTTTACTTGGGAATGTCTTAATCTCTCCTTCATTTTTGAAGAACAATTTTACCAGGTACAGAAGTGCTTGTTAACCAGTTTTGGTTTTTCTTTTTCCAATCAGCACATTAAATATAATATCCCACAGCCTTCTGCTGAGAAATTGACTGATAATCTTTGGAGGATCCCTTGTACATGATGAGTCACTTTTCTCTTGTTGTTTCCAAGATTCACTCTTTATCTTTTTCTTTCAACAGTTTGATTACATGTCTAGATATGTATCTCTTTGATTTTACCTTACTTGGAGTTCATGGAGCTTTTTCAACTTGCTTTACATGTATTTTCTTAAACTTGGGAAATTTTCAGCCACTATTTCTTCTTTATCTCTATCTTCACCTTCTGGGACGCCCATAATGCATGTGTTGGCCGAGTTCATGAGCTCGTAGGCTCTATTCACTTCTTTTAATTCTTCTTTTTTCTTTCTGCTCCTCAAACTCATTAATTTCAAATGTCTGATTTTCACGTTTGCTTATTCTGTCTGCTTCCTGCTTGAGTATGCTAGTCAACCCTTTTGTAAATTTTTCAATTCAGCTATTATAATTTTCAGCTCCAAAATTTCCATGTGGTTCATTTCTATAATTTCTTCTTTTTAATCATATCCTAACTTTATTCATATACCATTTTCCTAATTTTCTTTAATATTTGTCTGTGTTTTCCTGTAGCTCTTGGAGAACATTTAAGATAGTTTGTTTAAAGTCTTTGTCCAGTAAACTTGATGTCTTTGGGGTCAATTTCTACTCTATTACTATCTTTGGATTGTGTTTTCCCTTTCTTTGTGTGCCTTATCATTTTGTTGTTGTTGAAAATTTGTCATTTTAAAAAAATGTTTATGTATTATTTTTGAGAGAAAGAGAGAGCATGAGCAGGAGAGGGGCA